TCTAACAAGCACTCTTCAGAGCGATGCATACAGGCTCCCTGCTCTGCATGAAGCCTCAGCTCCCCTCTGCTCAGGCAATCTATCAAAGAGCCTTGAGAACAAAAAAAAAGAAAAGAAAAAGAGAACTCTCCAAAGGATTACCAAAATACAAAAAGTAGCACAAGTTTGTTCTCTGCTACTGAAGCTGCTCATGTGCTGCTTGAGGTGAAATATCAAGGAATTTTCTAGGCCTGCCATCAGACCAGAAATCATCCACAACCTGAGAGAATTTAATTCAAAACTATTTTATTTGACCCAAAAAGCGGAAGTTTTCTCAAATTACAGCTTCTGGTTTGTGAAAAAGCTAAAGGACTGTTTCCATTTCCTCTTTATCTACCTTCACCACTTTCAATCTCAGCTTTAAAAACCAGAAAACTTATATTTGTAAATCTGGATTTAATTATTTTAAACTAATGGCAGAACATTTTAACCAAATATGTAATTTGAATTACAATTTGCAATTTGCATCTAAATCTCAGCACAAACCACAGCCATTATGTCTTACTTCAGGTTTTATGGCCTTGAATGTGCTCCTCTCCAGGGTACATTGTAGCAGGACTTTCATGCTGTGTGGAAAAGTGTTTACCTTTATCTTTTATGCATTAATCTGCAAAAGAATTTCTCTTCCCTATGTGTGGAGGCTGAATCAGTGAAGGTATTGGTTTTTTTTGTTGTTTTTTTTTTGTATTGGTAGTATATTGCAAATGCCCTCATTAAAACTGGTTTAGCCTCAAAACTACAATACTTATACTATACAAAAAAAACTGTATTGGATTATTCCAAACTAATAGTAAAATTACTCCAAACCTGTTTAAGATCCTAACCTTTGCCTAACATCAATGATATCCTTCATGTGAATGTAAAATCCTGTAAAAATGGGTATTTCAATACCTCAGATCATTTCATGTGTTTACAATGTATCATTAGAAGAACTAGTAACTTTAAACCTAAATTTGCCTAAATAATTTTGGGCTCTCAACACAATTTTTGCTCAAGGGCAGTAGCGTTAGCCACAAGTTCTCCATTCCTCAATGTTAGCGACCTATAAGCAGGATGATAGTGGAATGCTTCTTTTGCATATCTATACAAAAAAGTTTTAAATCATTTAACATATTAAAAGAAATTGAGAACTTTAAAAAAGGAAAACATTTGCACCCGTATGGAGAAAGTTTAATTGTTTTCCTGTCATAGCAGTAATGCTGAAGGCATCTTGTAGGAAATAATCAACATACAGATTTTTGGATTAGACTTTTATTAAGGTTTTGTATTTTTGTTGGCATACTATACTGATTGCCAGTTTACAACATCGGGGACAAAGCTGTTTCATATTTAAATGTAAGTAATGAGGCAGTGACGAGGCATAAGCGAAAATTCAATCAGGAATACTCTTATCAGCTTCCCCTGAACTACCTGCAATGTCCTTGGTTCAGCTCCAGCCAATCATTGTAGGGATATTTTTTAAGATCCCCTTCATTTAGTTACCTAGCTTCTCTCCCACATGCCAGCAAACTTGCACCCACGTCCGCCCCATCTCCTCCGTCTCCTCTCTCACTCAGTCCCACACACTATCTGGCTTATTCCACCAACAGTGTCTGAGCCCCAGAATAAGACTACTGTACTCATTTTTTATTAATCAAGTTTTTCTTAGTCTTCTGCCAGGGCCAGAGAACTTATTACTTTCAAATCAATGTTTCTATGTCTCCTTCCATCTCCCTGTACCCCAGTTTGCCTTTGCAGATGGCAAACTGGGGTCTGGTTCTGCTGGACATTCATTCCTGTTAAAAGGGAGTTTTTCCTCTCCACTGTTGCTACAAGCATGCTTGGTGTGGGGGATTGAAGAGAGTCAATGAGTCAATGATAAAACTTTTGATCCGGTGGGTGGTCGGTGAAGTGCCTTGGGTGGGGTGGGGGGTTGTTGTGGATTGGCACTGTATAAATTAACTGAACTGAATTAAACTTTTCTGACTGCAGCTTTTTCTCTATGTGAGTCTCTCCAGGTTAAAATAACATCATGTTGAGTTTCCTACTTTGACATTTTAAAACTGAATACAAAAATGTAGCAAATAAATAATTCACAAGAATATACTACAAATAAAGGTCTAATACAGAATGTTTGCTCTTTTATGAATTAGTTTTTAGGTTTTGGAGGAGAAAGTTTGTCTCTTCAACCTCCTAGGAGTCTTCTAACTAAAGATAAAGAGCTTTACCCCACCCATTTAATGTACACATATATTACAGTGCATAGTAAGGTTGGCTGATAGAAAGAATCTATTCACCATCGATAACATACTCAGATCTTCAACAATCTTTTTTTTAAGAGCGATATTTTGTTTCATTTTTGGACCTACAGATTAAGCCGCAGCCCATGAAAAAACAAACAAAAAAATGCTTATTTAATGCTACACACAAACTCCAGTTCCACTGCAGCAGTGATTTATCAACTTAAACGTGAGACAAAAAAAAAAAGAACTGATCCAAACCAGAGACTAGCTGTTTTTTTTTTCAAAGTGTTTTTACAGGCCCCTCTGTTACGGATTTAATTTTAACACAACAAATATAAAATTAAGCGAGGAAGAAAAAAATTAATTCGAATGTAGTTCACACAGTCACCTGCAGGAATGTATCTCCCATTCTCATGTGCTGGACTGATGAATATTGGTTGGAAAATGGTTACATACCACCCAACCTTATTATGTAGAACTGTAAATTAATTAAACAGCATTGTTGGAAAAATTTGTGTATATCTCCATCAGCAATGACTAAAAATCTGGTCTGTCTTCAGTGATTTATTTGGAAATTGATATGTTGTGCACGTTCATTTTCCTATTGGTTTGTCTTTTTGTTTTTTAGATTGACTGTAAGATGTTCTTGGTGCCTATCAGTTTTTGGCCACCTCTCAGTGCACATTGGACACTGCCTCGCCACCCAATGAAAACTTTCTGGAACCACCACTGTGTATACCAAAGTTTGGTTGAGTTAACCTTGCATTTGGATCAAAGTGTATCAGATTAAGACTTCAGGATGTTTTGCCAGCTACTGAAAATGAGGTATTCTTCTTTCCTTTACATTTTATGCTGCTCAGAGTTTCTTTTGGCATTGCTGATAGACATTTAAAAATTTAAATTAATTGGTACCTGTTTTTATGGTTATCTAATCAAAGCTATTTTTCATTACCATGCCTTTTGCCACAGTTTTCCCACAGCAACTACATTACAGCCAATATCAATTGATAAATACATTACACCTCGGGTCATGGACTTTGACACGGTTTTGGAAGCTCTCCTTCTCAGCTTCGTACATATGGATGTTCCCTCACACATCTAATGTGTGATGGCACCTGTGATTTGTTTATGGCACTGAGCAGTTTTCTCATACGGGTGCATCGTGCTAACGACTCTGTCGGCTAACTATAGTTTTTATTTGTGCAACTTCCTCCCGCTGTTTCAGAACTTGCTTTACCTCGTACTTTTTAGATCCTTATGTACTCTTTTTCACTGTTCTTCTTTTGGTGATAGAGGTTCGTTGTGTTGCTGTCTGGTGAGGGAACAGTCTTGTAGAATAGTTTTCAAATTACTGTTGTGTGCTCCGTGTCGGACTTCTTAAATCCAAATCATAACCAAATCCCAGATGTAGCCCCATCTTTTTGGTAAAAGTGCTTTATCTTGGCCTGCCAGTGTAGCCATCTCTGGTGCAACCACAGCTTTAGAATGTCAGCCTCCTGCGTCTCAATCTCTCAGCTCTAATGAGTTAAGGGCAGATTAGACTACTGCAACCACGCACATCATATGATGCTGGGGTCTGGTCGCAAACCAGTTTTTCTGGTATGCTTCTGCACCGTCGGTCTGGAATTTCTAAAGAGGCAC